GGTACACCGATTGTACCGTGGCTACATTTTATATTATACGTATCTGTTATATATATAAATGTATAAATTATAAAGTAAAAACATACATTTTTCATATAATGCATTTTTAATTAATTTTTTTTTTTTTTTTTGAAATACAACACTACCTTACACATATCATAAATTGTTATATTTGTAATTATATTTTTGACCCCGAAGTAGTAAAATGTAATTATAAATATATTACCATTGTTAATGGAGGTAAACTACTGCATACGCACAGAAATAATTGGGTGTAGTTTTTTATATTATTGTGATTTTATTTTCGAAACAGTAGCAAATGTATTATGTACGTTAGGCGAAATAATAAAAAATTTAACTGTATGTTTAAGTTGACATGTTTTAATGCATAAAATATTTTTTTTGAAATTATAAGGAAAAATTATAAAATTTTAAATTAACATTTTTAATAACGTACATTTTAGTTTAAAATAATTTAAAACAAAACAAATAATAATAATGTATGCATTATGTCTATTGATGCAACTCATTAAGCAAGTTGGTTTTTTTAAGAAATAATAAAGTTAACTCCAATAGGTATATGTTTAAGTGTAGGCACAGGTTTATAACGCCTCAGTACAAGAGTTTGACACGTGCATATCAAAATATACTCCTATAATATTGGAGGTATATAATATATTCAATGTTTATTATAATACCAATGATTTACACGAAGTCATAAAAAAAAAATCAGTTTATTTTTGATGATTGAATTTATATTTGTATTTATTATACAACATGTATACAATTACTTTTAAAAATTTACATTTTTAAGGAAGAAGTGTCAAAAAAAATATTTCTGAAATGTGAAAATTATGAATATAACTAACTATATTATTATAGTGTTTGATGTACCGGCTTACCGTTTATCGTCTATATTTATAAATAGAAGTTTTTTGTTTTATTTATTATTATAAAATTATATTACGGTATCTATATTACCTAAATACCTATTTTATGTATTTTAATCAGTTGTTGAATGTGTTAAAAAATAATAAAAACAAAAATTCATTGATTTTACAGCTTTAAAGGTAAAATTAATCTATGACAAATTATATGGTGTTACAATAATTAATACTAAATTATATTTAAGGACGTATATTAAATATTATTGTGGTTATTACGGTTAGAACACATTAATATGTTATTGTGTTTACTGCAGGTTTGGAGGTTCCAAACAATAATACCTAAATTTTGAGTAGGAACCTATATACCGAATAAATTATTAGGATTTTCATTTTTTTCCAATGCTTTACTTAAACATAATTYATTCAAATCTATTTAATATGATACATATGATAAAAATTCTACGATTTACTAGGTTACACAACTAATTTTCATTGGTTTTAATTTTAATTTAAAAAAAAATCTATACGGTAGATTTCTTCTATATAAATATTATAACGAACAATCAGAAAAACTATCAATAATCAAATAAAAGTTTTAAATATGTAATATGTATATAATATTTTTATCCTGAAAACCGTCATAGCCTATATGATAGTACTATAATGCTTACTATGGCGTATGATTTATAGGTCAAGTTTATCTTGGATATTAAGGACACAGTGCTATTTTCCGTAACTCATCTACAAAAGTGCTAATGACCATAGTTTTCGATGCTTTAGATTAATAATACAAAAAGTAATTATCAATTCCTACAAATTATCTATGAATAACATAAAGCAACATAAAATAACACTATGTGCACTTTAATAACATTTAGCTCGATGGTTAAATCGAAAACGATACGATTGAGAATCGAATACCTCGGCTGATGTAAACAACTTAACCTACAAAATACTAGAACTCGAGGTATACCACGATAAGTTTGGGAAGGAATCAAAGAACAGATGGTTGGTATAAAAGAGCGTATCSTACACCATGATAGCCACTTTTATAGAAGGCGCTGCACATGGCCATATCTTTTGAATAAAATAACATTAAATATTTACCGAAATCAAAATATATTTTATGTCATTCATTCTGTTATTGTATATTATATCAAACTTACTACCTACTATACTAACGGTCAACTACTACTTCAACGCATATGATATTATGATGTAGGTATGCATGAGCAAACATTTATTTTATTTCTCGTGAGATTCAGATTTTTAACCAATGGCCGAAGGGTGAAAATAAATATTAGAATATTATTGTCGAGCATGTTAATCGTCTTAATAATAGTAAAAAATATAATATAAAGTATATAAATTTCACTATTTTTTCACTTGTAAATTTTCCATCATAATTAAAACGTGAGTATAATAACTTTTACCGTCTGAATACAGAATAATCCAAAAAATTAAATAAAAAATAGATTATAAATTATAAATTTGAATCAATAAATACATTTATTTGCATATATTTAATAATTAATTCGTTATTACTCTACCATAGTGCACACAACGATGTTAATAAAACCATAAAAAATAAAAAATATTTTTATTTATATAATTGCGACTGGTGGCTTCACGTCACTAACATCCAATGTTTGGAGAGGCGTGAACCAAATAGTTTGAGAACTTCTGCAATGTACACCGATTGGTCGTTATTCAAAAGCCTCCGTGGAGTTTATTAAGACATATATTTTCTTGAAATATGTAATAAACATAATGTTTAAGATTGTTATACTTTATGTTGTATACTTTTTGTTAAAATAGCTATAATGAAATTAATATTATAGTAATATTAGACATAAAACATAAATATTAAATATATGCGATTATACAAGGCTCTGTATAATAGAAAAAACTTTTAATATAAATATTATTATTAATTTTGTTGCTAACAATTTTAAAGATATTTAATTTCTCAATACCGAAATCACGGACTAAAGTGAAATCTATTAWAGTACAATAAATTGATATTATATTCTATAAATGGACTARTTAAATATGGTTTTATGTATATTTTTACCTCCGTAATGACTTCGGCTGGATCAGGAATATCAGGAGTAATCGTTCTGCGTGTCTGAGACATCACAGGTGGAGGAGATTGGCACTTGGCTAGACTTCCACTGGCCATACCTGTAGAAAAAAATAATATTAAATTTGAMATTGCCGTAAAGTCCACAAATCATAATAAATAAATAATGACAATAAAATTGATTACAAAAATAGAAACTGCAAAACATCATGATGGAATGAGACATTGAGTTTCAAATATTATTAAAAAAGTTTGATGTAAGTTTTTGTTGAAGTATTAAGATGATAAACTTATAATCATAATTTATTAACGAGMATTTTTAAATAATGGAGCACTGAATAGTTTGAAAATATTTCTAAAAAGAAATAATATTGTTACGTCAGTACTTATTGGGAGCATTGCAATTTGGAAATTACTAAATACCGAGTGAGATAAAATATCACGTTGATTGACTGGATGCCAATATAGTAATGCTAAAAATTTATCCGGGGTAATTTTTTAAGTATTTCTGCTGAAGCAGTAGTACAAAAAACCATCCAAAAATTGCCATTGCTATTATAGCAGTGATATTTTCAATGGTATCTTATGAACAATGGATTGTCGTTCTGACCTCAGACATTTCATTGGACTATTGGGCATTCTATTTATTTTTATCTTTTTTTGCTTCAGCAGTACTCAAAAAAAAATAATACTGCTACTGTAGTCATGAAATAAGGTGATTTTGTAAAAAAATAAAAAAGTAAAGTGCACATCAAAGTGATATTAACAAGTAATACATTTTTAATAATTATGAAACGCCTTGAATACATTTATTTTTCGATTATCTCTTTAAACGTGACTGTGAATATTATGCTTAAAATTGAATGAAAATATGTAATTATATTGCATATGTAATATATTATACATAACTAAATTATATCACCCGAATCAACATATCCAATATTGTATATCATAATATGTTAAGTACCTATAATAAATAATACTGGGCAGCTTATAGATCTTAAATTTTAACACTTGTTTACAACCGTTTTTATTTTTTAATTAAAAACACTATCTTATCTCACCAGCGTTGTTGTTCTTTTAGTGTTGTACGGAAAATGGATTTAAAACAATTTTTTTCTCTTCTCCTGCCGTCGCTTCGCCGAGTACGGACGGCAATCAAATCCTACAGCAGCTATATAATTAAAAGCTTTAACCGGAGCATCAACGAACCTTCCTACGAATTTCGTCTCCTTTTTTGTAAAAGGTAGTTTTTTTCACAGAGAGAAAAAATAAATTACGTGTCACTCCATTCATACACTTATATATATATATAAACCGATATTGGGGTTGTTGTTTCCCTTTTTAAAATGCTGTGGTAACGACAGGATTAACCAATCTGGCTTGATGTAACAGCATACGATTATACGAACGGAAAATTCGTCAAGCTCAATCCGACTTGAACGGTAGTGTGGTTGCGGCTTAGACATTGTGAGAACTCTAAATATAAAGGGATCCGATTTTGTGATTGTAAATAATTTATGGTTACTAACGTATATTTACACCGGAATTACATTGAAAGTGCTTCTAAGATCGACGTTCGTAATATATAGGTACCTACGTAAACTGTATGCACAACACTGACGCTTACACAGCGCACACTATCCAAATCATTGTCTATACAGAGGGGTTATTTTTTTATTTTTTTATAGTAATATTTAATTGTTAAATACTTGTGTTTTAAAAATAATTTATATTTTGTTTGATGTTGTGTGTAGTAATGAACTCAAATTATATATACATATATATAAATAATAATGTATATTTCTTCGGCCACATTAAGTACAATCATTTTATAAGAAAAAAGAATGTGGTAAAAGAACCASCTTGTGTTGTATTTAGAATTTAGATGTATTTAAATCTAATTACATAGGTTATTAATTGTTCTYGGTATGTATATAATCTGACCAAGTATACATATATTCAATTATAGAGCTTTGTAGTTTTCATATGATCTTTACTATGAACATTATTATATACCACCTATATGATGTACACAGTACACGCCAAACCTATTTGAGTAGCTTTAAGTAGTTGTGGAAGCACACATTTTAGGTAAAAAGTAGGTAATAATATTTTTGTTAAATATTATTACTATGATTTACATCGATGCTAAATAAAACTTATAAATAAACAAATAATRTTTTTGTTTACTATTAATATTTCAAAAAATTTAAATATTTTTTGTATAGATAATGTTGACTGATGAAAGAACGTTATTCAAAATACGATATTATAAAGAAAGAACATCTAATTATTCATTTTTTACGCTCTAATATTTACATAAAAATATTACATTTATAATTATTCCATTTGTTTAATCAAAGTAATTAATTTTYATATATTCAAATGATAAACAATAATTTTTACATAATATTTGAAATTTCAGAGTAAATTGTTGATGTGGTAAATTTCTGAGTATTTCTCTCGAATTAAACTTAATGATCAACTCCGTAGCATACTATAGAAAGTTATTATATAAAACCCTYTCAATCGTAATGTATATTACTATTTTACCCTTTAATTAATGTTTTTTGTCAATTGTTACAGGTTTCTCCTTGACGCATTATTTATCATTTTTATCCCGCATTTGGTATTTTAAATTTTCATTTAAGATTTTTATGATTATATCATTATAATACATAGCCTATATTAACAATAATTAATTTTATTCATAAAATAAATATGAAATACTTATCTATACGAACTGAAAATATCGTGATAATAAATATCTACCTAATAACCATACAAATTTTAATATTTAAAATGTAATTACATAATGTTATTATTTTATCATATCGAACTATYGGAGTATATAAATAATTGGTAATTTTCCAATAATTATATATTATATATTATATTATTATTATACATGACTATTAATTCTAAAATCGTAMATGGTTACAACTTGCAACTAAAGAGTATCAGTAGGGTAAAATAGTAAATAAAATCACCAATATTTAATTATTTGTTGTTTTAATCATACAACATCTTAAATAATTATAAGTACAATTTGTGGTATAAAAATTAACTTTTTTCTCAATAATAAATKACAGGTATTCCTAAACATTTATTTTTATATTTTTATATGATATAATGTACCTACTTAAAAACCAATAACTATTAGTAATAAAAAAATAAAATAAAAAAAATTCATACCATTTCTTAGTTTATTGCTAGCGAATAAGTCTTTCATCAGATTTGAGTGTTTCTGAAATCAAACAAATTGTACAACCTGTTAGAACATTGCAGCAATGAATTTTGTTAAAACATAACAATTTACTATTTAAATATTTAAGCAAAATAAACAACTATAAAAATACAAAAGTAAAACAAATTACATAACAAYATTTCAAATGTAAACCACTGATGTGTTATATTTTTGCATTGAAGCTATTGCATTCCGCATATAATATATTAATATATGTATAGCAAATTAATATTTTAAAATAGTAACAAGTTGAAAAAGTTAAAAAAGTTCTGTATAGTGATATACAAAACAAGATGCTACCCTAAAGATAATAAGTAATAGGTAAATACTTGTCCGATGTACCTAAAATTGAGCTATACTTGAATTAATTGTTTTTATCCATCACTTAAAATCATGGAATTCACGGTAATGAGAACTTTCAAATAATATACATACTTCAATTTTTGCTTGATATATTTACTATTGAATTATATTCTTTTTTATTTTACATTATTTTCTAAACATCGTAAATATGAAAATACGATTATAACGTGAGTYATGATGAATATATATAAAAAAAATACACGATTCACTGAATGAAGAATTATTTCATTCAAGGAGATTGTAAATGTATGTAAATTAAAATAAATTATAATATTGATGAAATAGAACAATATTTTTACCATYCAGATAATTTGAATTATTACAAAACAAGTTCTATAGTATAATAAATGATATATTTTAAAAGTTCAGTCTTTATCAATTTAAATGTAATTAATATATTTTGATGATTATTCAACCAAAATAATGTTTGTGATTAAATGTCATAATATGTTTAAGGTGAAAAATTGACGAATAAGTAGAAGCTCTCGTAACATTAAAGAAATTTAAGAAGCGTCTTAAAAAAAAAAAAAAAAAACAAGGCAAGTATCATTAAAATAAAATTGTTACATTGTATAGCAGTTGTTATATATGCACATTGGACATTGGTTTAGGTATTTGAATATTTCATAAGATGAATGAGTTTCATTGATTTYGTAAAAACAACAGGGTAAAAATAAAAACACGACTGCAGAAAAAAGCAATATAATGCTTGGTAATATACTTCCCCGACTTTAAATTAATATATACGATTAACTACTTTTATGAAAATAAAAATCTTAAGTTTATAATGTTTACATAGTTAATATTGTTCTATTATTTGGTTAAAAAAAATATATAGTGTTATTTTACTGTAGTTAAAACACAGAGACTACTTAAATTAAAATTTAATCTAGAAAAAAGAATGTCTAATTTGTTAAATTTTGTTGATATTTTATATTGTTGTTGGTGGTTACGTACTTATAATATTTATATTTTTTACCAATTTTCTTTGAATAKTTTAACTCGATTTCAAATAAATAGTTTTGTACAATTTATCAACTTTTTAATATCTTATGAATTCATTATAAAAACAGTCCAGTTAAAAGAATAAAAGATTCTTAAATTATATCTTTTGGGTACACACATATTTAAGATTAAATATATTTTATACGATTATTAATGAAAATGTCAAACAAATATCAAAAATCACGATTGCATTATTTTAGAATAATAAAAAAAAAGACAGTTTTTAGATTTTTTTTTGTCAATTTAAATTTAATACTCTATGAATGTAAAAAGAATAAAGGTTTTCATCCCCTGTTCACAATAAAAGCTTATAAGCTTATGATATATTATGTTATTAATATAAGATTTGATAATATATAAGTATAATTTAAGCTCCAGATTAAAATCTAACATGTGATCGGAATTGGTGAAACACAATAGATATAATACACATCACTCATCAGTACGTGTCTGTAAATAGTGATCAYCCGTGCACACACCACTTTTACGACCTTAAACCGATTCTATAGATTAATGAACTAAATGAAGACATACTGAGAGAGGAATGCATGCACGTTTTAGCATCATCGTCATCGCCGCCATAAATATCATCACCGCTGTTTTTACGACGTCTGCGCGGTAAGAGTTGGTGTTTAACGTCTGTAAATGAATTCAGCTCGTGTTCACCTTTTTTTATGTGATAAAAAGGGATGAAGTATGAATACGGTGAAACACAGAAAATAAGAAACAGAAACGCGTATACAGTGAAACGAAGGAACTAAAAGGTTTTGTTATCTCAGGTTAGTGGGTACCTACTTCATACTTCCCTCCTTATAGCGCTAATGCCCCGAATCTTTTATTTATTTATTTGTTTTTTTTAGCATAGAATTTTTTTTCTTCTCTTTGACTTCGTAAAAATAAATAATAGGATATTTTAAAATACAACAGACTAAAGCAACAACAACAGAAAAAACAACCGCTCTCGCTCTTTAAAAAAAAAAAATTGTTTTACCTTTCTTTTGGTTCTTAATAGTTCGGTTATATTGTTTACATCGATGTTAACATTTTCCTATAAATTAATACGATATAAACCAGAAATAACCGTGTTCAATCGCAAATAAATGATATATATATAATTGTATAAATTAAACTATATAAAATTTGCTTAAACCTACCTATTAATAATTTAATAACACTATATTTGTATATTCATTAATAATGAACGGACCTAACTAAAAACCTAACATTTATATTATTATTATACGTAAGAAATACAATGAAAGAGTATTAAGTAATATTGTTTGATAATATTTAATGTCTACTTTTTAAATACTTTTTTTTGTACTTGGTACGCTTAAATTATCATAATATACAACAGATGTATCAACTTAATATTAATTTAGTATCGAATTATAAAATTGAAAATTACAATAACATCAATAATATAATGATAAAAAATTTATTAGTAAGAGTGATTTTTTAGTAGTCAAATTTTTTTAAAAAGCACATATTATATTATCGTTTATGGTAATATTTTTTTTTTCTTAATTCAAAGTTATTACAAWACAAAATATTTGTCTTAAGTATTTTAATACATATAAATATAATTTAAAATAAGTAGTTATTAGTGATAAATATTTAAAGATTAGGTAGGATTTTGTGTGGATAACTTCTACGCAATATCACGACTAGGTTCATCTATAATTGTTATTAAAAGTGTTAGCTAATTAAATTAATACTATTAATATTCTAAAGATATTAAACATTTTAATACTACTAGGAATAAATAGAAAAAATTACAAATTTTTTCTTTAAATTACTGTTTTGTAATGACTTCAAATAACGTAAAAGAAAAATTTTGAAAACTGTTAATACTTTTGAAGTATATGAGTATTTAAAATTATTAGGTTCACTAAATTTAGTGGGTTTGCTGAATATGGGAAAAAATGAAARTTTTAAACAGAATATATGAAATAAAATTATTTTCTTAAATTTTCAAATGCATTCGTGAAAATTATAGGTATGGTTAGAAAAATCAACTCAATAAAAAGAAATACGAGTAGGTAAATAACTCTTTGAACTTTGTTTTATTTTGAATCAATTTTCTACGGAATAGTAATTATTGTAAATTCTTCTACTATGTTTGAAATTATAAACTAGTCGAATTTTTTGTTATAGGTATTTTCAAAGTTTATTTAGTAAATATACAGCTGGTAAATAAATTTTATGTGGAAAATGAAATAAACAATACGTTGTAGTGGATTTTAACTGTAACGAACGACTATAAATTAAATATATTTAACGATCCATCCAATCTCGTCAAAATATTATTATTAAAAGTAGAGAAGAAATAAAATAAAAGAAAAGACCATCAGATCCCTTAATACCTATTATATGGTATTTTAAAATATAGTTTTCACGTTTATATGACATTTTAACCATTACAATATTATATTATAATATTTAACTTTTATGTATTACTATTATGGTTTTATTTTTAATATTTTTTCTATTTCATATTATTTTAATATTTTAAATAACTTAGAGTCAGTGTAATGGTAGTAGTTTTAGGGTAGGTAAAATTCGATCGAATCCATAGTGAAACTATATACCCTTTACAACTGTGTTTTGAGATTACATTAAATTACTTTAATATCATATAATATTTAATAATGTGGCATTCATCGTTTTATTTTTTTACAAATCTCGAGATATAAATCTAAGTCCCTAAACAATATGTAGATACATATTTTAAAAGCATATGGAATTACTAGCTGAATTTTAAATCAACTTATAAAAATACGCCTATACATATATAACAACTTTTAAAGAATATTGTTTGAAGTTTATAGATATCAAATATTCTATTGAATTCTAGCTGAAATATATACATAGATATAAATATAAAAAAAGGTAATTCTGAATTGAATTAGCCACATGAAATTCACACATGGATACCTTATGGAAAAGACATATACTCTCTTTTGCCCAATATGTAACATAAGCAACTCCATCAAACATACCTTCGTTTATTGCATTAACTTCGATCAAGTCAGAAATTTGAACATTCTGGAAAATGTATATGAAGCAATTGGTCCATTTTCAAACAATCTCAATACAATTTCTTAACTTAAAAATTGAAATGTACAGGTRTAGTATAATGTAAAAATTGTAATATTGATGTAAGCTTTATAACGTTTTTACCTGACGAAAAAAAGAATTGTTTCCGTTTTTGTAATCTTAGATTTCAAACGGAGAAATTAATGTACAGAATTTCAATTGTATTTATTTTTTTACTATTTTGTCGTCCCGTGTCGTCATTTCACTTCACAAATTGGATATAGTTATTTCTTAAAGTGAGGGGTGGGGGCTCCAAAATAAAAACTGATAGTATTCTTTAWCAAATAATTTAAAAGAACTAGGTAATATGTTACAAACAATAGAGGAAAAACTGTAACATAATATTTTAAGCAGCAATAATTTTTGATAAAATCGATTTTGTTTTTTGTTTCACCAAATATTTATATTAAAATATCCTATAAATGTTATATTTTTTTTTAATATTTCATTTCTTTATGTGATATTTATAGACTTATAGGCATTTTTGAACTTTTTAACATTTTCGATTGAAGTATAAAACATTTTTTTGTCAA